TCATAGGCAGACATCCATCTATTTATTTATTTATTCATTTCGTACATTTGTCACCCCCCCCCCCCCCCCCGAAGGGTGGGTACTGAGGATGGCTTCACAACAAGCACCCGTTTTAGTGCTAATCACAATCATAAAATACAGTTAAAACAATTCATTTAAAAATACATTGCATTAAAAATGTTTGTTTAAAATCACGCTGGTTGGGATTTCCTGGTTTAGCTGCCCAGAGGGATACTCTTGCTGTTGCTGTTGTTGTTGTTGTTAATGTGGATTTTATACAGCTGTGTGAAAGGGGCCTCAGTTTGTTTCAGAAGACTTCATAGAAAATGCAAGGCATAAAACATCAGTTTTAAAGAAACTATGGGGTTTTTTGCATTCTAAAGTGGTCGACTGAGGGCACACTTATCAATTTTAGAAGGCAGGACCAAAAAATGTATCAAAATGTGCCAAGAGGGCTACAGAGCAATCAGTCAATTGTACTGGGCCATTAATTATCTGAAATTCCAGTGGCAGATTAAAAGGAGGTTCTCAGTTAGTGAAGTTAGCCAGAGGCAAATATCCCAAGGATTCAGAACTTTCAAAGAGCCTGTCAGTATGAAGGATATAGGTCTATAGGTTTTCTCCTCACTCCTCCAGATATAATATTTTGTTTTATAAAAACAGTTATGTTCGTTGGATTGTTGTAGGTTTTTTGAGCTATCTGGCCATGTTCTAGAAGTATTCTCTCCTGACATTTCGCTTGCATTTATGGCAAGCATCCTCAGAGGTAGTGAGGTCTGTTGGAAACTAGGAAAATTGGGTTTATATATCTGTGGAAGTTCAGGGTGGGAGAAAGAACTCTTGTCTATTGGAGCTAGGTGTGAATGCTTCAGTTGGCCACCTTGATTAGCATTTGATGGTCTGACAGTTTTTTGGTGTGGCTAGTACCTGCCTGGGGGAATCCTTTGTTGGTAGGTGATTAGCTGTCCTTGATTGTTTCTTGTCTGGAGTTCCCCTTGTGTTTGCGTGTGGTTTTTTGTTTACTGTTATAATTTTAGAATTTTTAATAGTGGTATCCAGATTTTGTTTGTTTTCATGGTTTCTTCCTTTCTGTTGAAATTGTTCACATGCTTGTTGATTTCAATGGCTTCTCTGTGTAGTCTGACATGGTGGTTGTTAGAGTGGCCCAGCATTTCTGTGTTCTCAAATAATATGCTGTGTCCAGGTTGGTTCATCAGGTGCTCTGCTATGGCTGACTTCTCTGGTTGGAGTAGTCTGCAGTGCCTTTCATGTTCCTTGATTCGTGTTTGGGCAATGCTGCATTTGGTGGTCCCTATGGAGACTTGTTATGTTCGTGTTCTGGGTACATTATTCATGTCCTTGCTGGTGATTCTAAGGCCAACAATAAAACTTCATTTGATAGTTAGCTCAGTTGAATGTTGGCAGGATTGGACCCAAACAGAACCAGAAAAGAAAGAATCAGTATGCTGGATATAGTGGAACAAAAACCATCAAGGACTTTAAGATCTTCCGGAGAGGCCCTGGTCTCAGTCCCACCACCTTCGCAGTCGCGCTTGGTGGGGATGAGAGACAGGGCCTTCTCTGTGGTGCCCCCCCCCCCCTGCGCTATGGAATTCTCTCCCCAATGAGGTTAGGTCTGCCCCCTCCCTCCTTACCTTCAAGAAGAAACTGAAATCTTGGCTTTGGAATCAGGCATTCGCAAACTGATGGATTGAACCGGCAAAGACTAAGAGTTATTGGACCACAATGTTTGGATTGAGTTGGATGATGTTTTTAACTTGGCAAACTGTTTTTTATATGTATTTTATAACTTACTAGCTGAATCCCGCCACACGTTACTGTGGCCAACTTTCCCTCCCTCTTTCTCTCCTTCTTTCTTTCTCTCCTTTCCTCCCTCTTTCCTTTCTTTCCTCTTTTTTCTTTCCCTTCTTCTTTCTTCCTTCTCTACTTGTTTCTTTTCTCGCTTCCTTTGCTCTTTGGTTCCTTCCTTCCTTCCTTCCTTCCTTCCTTCCTTCCCTCTTTCTCTTTTTCATTCCTTCTCTCCTTCCTTGTCTCTTTCACTTTTTTATTTCCTTCTCTCCTTCCTTCCTTCTCTACCTTTCTTTCTTTCCTTCTCTCCCTCCCTCCCTCCCTCCTTTTCTATGTACGTGTTTTGTGTGTGCATCTATGTGTGTATATATGTCTGTATATATTTGTGTATATGTGTATATATGTGTGTTTGTGTACATATGTGGTTTTGCACAGGTGTTGTAATTTTTTTTTGCTTTTAAAGTCTCTTCTGCTGTATTTTTGTTGGCCTGAGAGGTGTATTGTGTCCAAATTTCGTGTCAATTTGTCCAGTGGTTTTTGAGTTATGTTAATCCCACAAACGAACATTACGTTTTTATTATATAGATTTATTATGTATGTTGCTTTTAAAATGTTTTTTATTGTGTAGCATTGAATTTTTGCTGTGGTTAGCCATTCTGAGTCCCTTCACGGAGGTAGAGAAGAACAGGATATAAAAGTTCTAAATAAATAAATAAATATTTTAAAAAACCTTGAATGCTACTAACCTTTTCCCCCCAAAAGCCCAGCCCAGCGACGGCTGAGCATATCCAGCATCTGTGAAATAGAGAGTAAAATTCAGAAAGGCAAACAGGAGTTGGCAGAAATGGAGTGGAATGCCCAGCTTGTAATGAATGAGTGGATACAGGCACGAACAGGAGCATTCCTTTTTTCTAGGGAGGTTACATTACAGGAGCTGCTCGTAACTTACTAAAAAGAGTATGCCTTAGACATGATGGATTCATAATGCTAGTTTTCTTCTCTCCCGCCAGTCCATTTGGTCTCCTCCCTCAAGAACGCATTGTGCTTAATAACAGGCTTTTCTGTTCAGCCAAACCCAGGTTTCCGTTCAAACTTCTGGCAGGTTGCCATTATAATCAAGGAAGGAAAGGGAAAAATAACCAGCCTCCACAATTTCTCGGTGAATGACTTTGCTGGATGTTACCACAGACATTAGTACCACAGACTTGCCCTTGTTCGTTGCTTCGGGCTATGCACCAAAAGAACGGTTTCTTGTGTGGCATTATGAAGTCTGGCTTATTTTAGAAAATAAGGGGGAAAAGACCTGGCTTCTTAATATCACATCCTCTCTAACATATAGGTTCTAAAGGATGTTTGGAAAAGGGTGCAGAGAGTTTCCAAAAACCCTCTCAATTAAGCTGAAAACCAGCTTCAGCTTCACCGATGAATCTATAAAAGAAATGTATGTTCTGACCTGAGAGTCAACATTGCTTTAATAGGCTATTAAAAAGGGGCAGAGGTTGTATGCTTTAGTTATGTTTACTGAGAATGTATTAGAGGGAGACGTACATGGGAGAGAGAACTTCCCCAAACTATGTTCTAAAGTTGTTTTGGACTAAACTGCCCAGCACCTCTAAATGTATTTATTTATCATGTCAGAAGTGAGTTGAGAGTATAGTTACAATGAATTTAAAAACACAAAGTTAAAAAAAAAACTTGGCATTATGCTAAATGTCCTTGACCAGAAGCTGGCCACTTGGAGTGCCTCTGGTGTCGCTATGAGAAGGTCCTCCATTGTGCATGTGGCAGGGCTCAGGTTGCCTTGTAGTAAGGTTTAGAGCAGGCAGGGGCAAACTTCGGCCCTCCAGGACTTCAACTCCCACAATTCCTAACAGCCAAAGGAAGGGGCCTGAGGCTGTTAGGAATTGTGGGAGTCGAAGACACCTGGAGGGCTGAAGTTTGCCCATGTCTGGTTTAGGGCAAACCTCTAAATAATAAACATGTTAATAGGAGCTGATGGAAGTTGCACAGAACATCTCAAGAACATCAGGTTGATGAAGACTGCGCCTGCAAAGTTTAGTCTTCATCTATTACAGGAGACAGGGCTCCAGTACATTTAGTACACATGTCAAAGAAAGTGTCAGAGACATGAGAAAAACTGTGTCACGGAGAAAATGTCACAGAGATGAATCTCACATGCTTTTTGGTTCCAAAACCAGAAATAAATTAGAAACAACACTGGAGCTATGATGGCGCAATGGGTTAAACCCTTGTGCTGGCTGAACTGCTGACCTGAAGGTCGGCGATTCAGATCTGGAGACGGGGTGAGCTCCTGTCTGTCAGCTCAAGCTTCCCCTGCGGGGACATAAGAAAAGCCTTGTACAGGATGATCTGGGTGTCCCATAGGCAACGTCCTTGCAGAAGTGACTTCCAGTTTCTCAAGTTGCTTCTGACACACACATACACACACGCAAAAACCAGAAACAGAGAGGAATGTCTGGACTGAGAAAAAAAACATAATGAAGAGTTTGCTGGGAAAGCAAGACTTTGCCCCTATTTATATAGAGAGTGAGTACATATATGAAATAATGCGTAGAAGCATCATCTTCCTTACTATGGGGTTTTTTTGTGACTGCTCCCCCTCCTAACTATATATGCTAGATATAGATTAATCAAATTATCTCCTCCAGTTCCCCATTAAGAATCAATCTATCATAACATCAGTTATGTCTCCAAACCATCTATAAAGAAAATTACATTCTTCCCTTTTTACTATTACTAGATCTTTTAAGATATGTTATAAAGCATCCTTAATCACCTTTAGTTTTAAATTTACTTAAATCAATAAGCTTTATTTTATGACCACTTCCTTTGCACCAAATTGCCATACCTTTGGAATTTTACAAATTACACCAGTCAGCAAGTTAGACAAAATCTATGAGGCGGGGATGGCCAAACAGTTAATATGGAGACTAGAAGGCCTTATAAATGTGGCAAATTAGAAATTTCAGAACAAAATGCCGTTGAACAATCAACATGAATAACAACCACAAAGAACAAAATGTTCGCATTCCATACTAAATGCTCACCCCTCCAAATTGTTCCTTGTATAGTTATGCCACCCTGGTGTTTGTGTATACATATGTGTACATTGGTCATAAACCTGTGAAGTCAAACAGTAAGGTTTTTCCTTTTCTTTTTTTATTGTACAGTTTACTCTTCACCAAAGTCAAGCTGGAATTGGTGCATAAAGGACCAGAAGAAGCCTTAGTGACCTGCAGACATATGTTGCACCAGTGGCAAACACTGTATAATGTTTCACAACACAGGTAGGTTTCTGTTTAAAACGGAATATCACTTCCAGATTATCTTTGATGTAGGAGGGTCATATATACACGAGTATAGGAATAGTTTTTCAGCACATTTTTTATGCTTGAAAAAGGCCCTCTTGGCTTATACTCAAGTGAGGGTCCCGGAAGGAAGGCGTGGGATTGAAAGAACCCTTTTTGGCACAGCAACCCAACTGGATCTCTGTGCCAAGAGAGGAGGAGAGGAAGGCGTACGGCCGCTCCTCTCGACACAGCAACTCAGCTTGGTTGCTGTGCTGAGATGACAGAAGAGAAGCTGTGTGTCTCAATTAATGTAATGTTATTGGTATCTATTTTTATTTTGAAATTTCCCAGTAGCTGCTGCATTTCCCACCCTCAGCTTATACTTGAGTCAATACATTTTCCCAGGGTTTTTGTGGTAAAATTAGGTGCCTCGGCTTATATTTCGGTCAGCTTATACTCAAGTATATACAGTAGTCCAACACTGTGATGCAGGAATACAACTAAGGCGGATCATCCAATCTTGGTTGAAAGACCTCCAAAAAAGGAGAGTCCACTACCACCGCACCCAGGAATCTATTCCACTGTGAAACCACTTTTACAGTAAAGAACCTCTGTTCTTGCTGTTACAAGCCATTAGGTTCCCTTTGTGTACTTGTTTTTATATTTAAATGGATTCACATCATTTTTAATAAGCACATTGTTAGCCATGTTGTTAGTCATGTTGAGTCCCTATACTGAAAGAAAGGGGGAAATAGAGTACCGTATATACTCGAGTATAAGCCGACGCGGATATCAGCCGAGGCACAAAAAAACTGGGAAACTTATTAACTTGATTATAAGCTGAGGGTGGGAAATGCAGCAGCTACTGGTAAATTTCAAAATAAAAATAGATACGAATAAAATGACATTGAGGAATACAGCTTCTCCTCTCAGCACAGCAACCCAGCTGAGTTGCTATGCCGAGAGGAGAGGCCAGGTGCCCTCCTCTCCTCCTCTCTCGGCACAGAGATCCAACTGGGTTGCTGTGTCAAAAGGGGAGGAGGCATGCAGCTTGTAAAGCCCTGCAAAGAGCTTCTTTCAGTCCCATGCCTTCCTGCCGGGACCCTCATTTGGTATAAGCTGAGGGGGCCTTTTTCGGCATAAAAATGTGCTGAAAAACTAGGCTTATACTCGAGTATATACAGTAAATAAATTAGTTTGTGCCATTAGAGGAGGAGACGAAAGAAGCTCATTCCATCTTCTACAGGTATTTAAAATGGCGAAGATGCTCTTTCTCAGTTTTCTCTTAAGTTAAACATACCTGTTCTGGTACAACTGTACCAGGAGCTCCAATTTTGTTTGCTTTACATTAAATGTTTGTTTGCAGTCCTAGGTTTCAGGGACTCTGCAGATAGGTGGCTTCTTTTGGTTGCAGTTATAGGGCAAGCCACCTGTCCAWCATCATTAAGTTTTGGTCCYGCCCCTTGCTCAGGGCAATTGGGAAGGGAAGGGAGCCATTATTTAGTTAGTCTCARCAAGGWAAGCTWATGTATAGGAYGYRTGCAAGCTTCCCCTGTACAAAAGCTTCAACCTTYAAGAATTTCCAGGAAAACAGCCMTAAAAGACCAAAGAACTCCAGCTGGASAACATCTAMKSCYTTRCTRRTAGGTCYAYTCGRYGTTYRAGAHGCAKTTCGACCCRGTAGYRGAGCYCACATCAGTARGGGTTAGATTACAGTCAGCCTGGGAGAAGTTAAAAAGGGGATTTTCCTTTAAAGAAGAAGTTATTGAAGAYAGTTGCCTGTCCTTCGTGGGCAAGTTTAGGAATTCACCAGTTKCCCAAAAGCTTGGAATCATTTACTTAACTTTACTGAAGACAAGAGAAGTTTCTGTTTGATTGTTCATTAATAAAAGACTTTGTTGTACTTCTCAAACATCTAAAGACCGTTTGTGGTGGAAACCTCTGAGAACTTCTCTTTAGGCCCCCTGGCTTCCCGTTGGGCAAAGGTTGTACATCCTGTTTTAAAGACAACTATTTACAGGCCCAGCACACGACAGAACAATACCAATTTCCCATTTTGCATAGAGCTTGGTTGTCATCCAGGTGATAAATCTATTGTGCCAATTTAGATTGTAGGTTTGAGCCTCTTGCCTGAGTTAGTGCTCCCTTGTATCTCCCCAATTCCCAGTATGCATACTAGGGATGGATTTGTGGTGCGTGGTCACAATGTGACAGTCCTTGTAGCAATTATATCAAGGGGATGGAAAGAATTAGCTTTGTTCCATCATCTTGATAAGCTAGTTTTCTACATGCAATTTTCTTTGACGGAGGGTCCTATGTGGTAACAATTACACACCTGCAGTCTGAAGTGGCATGGTCCCAACTAGAGTTTGGAAATGTTATTCTTTTGGACTACAGTGTAGGGGAAAGGGGGTGTATAGGGCGCATGCCATGCCTGTCGCCACTGGCAACTAACCACAGAGCTTCAGGACAGATCCTGACTATCGTTGGGCACTTTTGCTGATATTGTTCGACCAAGGAGAAGGTGGAGGTGATTACACTTGGCCAGCTGCCAGAACAAAGAAAAGCGTGAGGCTCAGAGTAGTCAACCCACCTCTTTTCTTTCTTTCTTTTTTTGCCTTACAGTGAGGAGGAGAGCGAAGAGCACCAGCAGACGTACCACACTGGCAGCAGGAAAGGAGGAGTGAATGAGTAAGTTCAACACCATCCAGGACTGGCATCATAGTGGCTTTTGGGAAAAGGGCAACTAGGGATGGAGAGGATGGGAGGGGTACTGAGTGAGGCTCAAATTACACACTTTTCTTAGTGTATATATTTTCTTCCTCAGCTGAAATGGTTTGTAAGTATTTGTTCAGTTTTCTCCATCTACACATATTTTCGTTGTTTGAAACATACTACAATGAAGTAGCTCCCAAGTATTGGTTTTTGCAGACAAAGTTCATATTTCCTGGCAACAATTCTCAAGAGGTTAAAAACTGCTAATTTTGGCAAGAATGTCAAATCCACCAAAATGCATTTCTGCCGATGGGCATGAAATTAATTAACTGTTAATTATAGGCCTGGCTAACAACGGAAAAAATTGTTTCTAAAATCGATTCGTTTTTTGGGGGTTTTTGCTTTTTGTTATTTAAAATAATTACAAAATTTTCCTTTAAAAAAGTTCGATATTTACGAAATTTCGTAAATGTGAAAAAATTACAAAACAATAACTAATCGATTTCCGAAACAATAACGAATCGATTCGTTAATGGCGGACGCGACCGCGCAATACGCTAAAAAACCTCCAAATGGGACAGGGGGAACTTCTGAAGCTTAATTAAACCAAAAACAACTATAAAAACCCTTAGAAAACCAAAAACAACTATAAAACTTGCCCCAGACATGCGGAAATAATAACGAAATGACCTCAAAACGATAACAAAACGAATACAATAACGAAATACAAAACATTTACGAAACGATTTAAAAATTCGTTTTTTTAAAAATCGCTCCAGACTGGTTCGTTATCGTTTTGTAATTGAAAAATTAACGAATTTTTTAACGAATTACGAATTAACGAAACGAAACCGCCCAGCCCTAGTTAATTATAGTTACCATGTCTAAACATACTTGCAAGTCTGCCTGACTCCAAGTAGCAATTTCAGAATCATTCCAAAAATGACAGAAAATAACTCTGAAAGGAACACAAAATTAGGTGAAGCATTTAAGGTTATGGTCATGCACCCACTGACATGCTTGTAAATCCTATAGAGGTCAATAGGATTTACAAGCCTGTAAGTGGGTCTAGGATTCCCGCCTGAGTCTATATATAGGTACCGGAGTAAGTGACCTGAAATTTGCAGAAATGGCTATGTATCCAGCATCAAGAAAATGAAGCTGTGTTATTTTAGACCATTTGGAAATGATGAGGAGGTTGTGTCATGTAACTACTGAAGTATTTAATAACCAGAGGTCGAGAAATAACTATTGTGGTTGCAGAAAAGCAAGTGCAAAATCTTGAACCAGAAAGGAGATCTCAGGGAGGAAGCTGTCCTACCATCGCTGTCTAAAGAGCCCTTCTGCAGCGAATAAAATCCAAAATATTGTGGTAGGAAATCCCACAGTATCTGCTTTGAACTGGAATATATGGCAGTGTGGACTCAGATAATCCAGTTCAAAGCAGATATTGTGGGATTTCCTGCCTTGATATTCTGGTTTATGTGGAAGGCCCCAAAGTAACACGTTCTTGTTGATAAATCATCATAGTGCAGGTCCAATCTGAGGCCAGTCCCATTGCCAGGCTGGTCTATAAAGGGAAGTTGAGAACAGAAGCCTTCCCAGATATCCCACCTCTAACTGCTATTCACATACATTGGCCCTTCTTGTTTCACCCAGGGGAGAAGTATCCGGATAGTGCTGGCAGACCTTCCTATGTGTGCTCCTAGCACAGTGGTTTTCAACCTGTGAGTCCCCAGGTGTTTTGGCTTACAACTTCCAGAAATCCCAGCCAGTTTACCAGCTAATAGGATTTCTGGGAGTTGAAGGCCAAAACATCTGGGGCCCACAGGTTGAGAACCACTGTCCTACCAGTTGCCTACCTTTGCAGTAAAGTTAACAGGTGAACTGCCAGTGATTGCCATGCTGGCAGCAGCTACCTTTTATTTCTTCCCATTGCAAACTTCTGATTCTGTTATCTTTTTATTTATTTTATGCCAAAAATAAAAATAAAAAACAAAATAAAGTACCATGGTTTGGGGGAATTGTGTATGTTTCCTGCTTTTATTTGTCCCCTCCAGTTATATCTTTGCCTCATCTGTATGTTCACCATGAAAGCTCTGACTGCACCATAATAATAAAATAAATAATAAAACTTTATTTATATACCGCTCTATCTCCCCAAGGGGAATCAGAGTGATTTCCAAGTAACATCATCAATACATACAGTATAAACAACATAACAATAAGATTAACAAAACAATATAAGCATAAAAATTGTCACCATAACACATACATATTAAAAGTAATACTGCCTGTTCAAGGCAATTTAAAAGGCCGGGCCGAGCTTAGTGCAAGCTCAAAAATTCTAGGGGGCCCAGGAATTAAGTGTAGTGCTATAGCAGGCAACAACAATAATAGGTACGGGTCTATGGCTGTTCATTTTCAGGGCCTATTAGAGGAAGTGACCTAGGTAATTGGTAGGAAAAATAAGGCCGTAAGTCGGTTAGACAGAGTTTATGCATCTGTTTCAAGCAAGGAACAGGTCTAGGTGTGCCAGTAAGCCACCAACTAAATCCAAGAGAGCAATGAAACTGAAATTAATCACAGCACAGAATAGCATGCCATATGCATATGGTTTAAATAGTGCACCTATTAGAAGGAATTTAAATAGTGCACCTATTAGGAATCTGGGAAAAGAGCCAGTGTCAGTTTATTTCCAAACTAGGACACCAGAATTTGAGGTTTTGAAGTCCCATAAAACAATGGAAAACCACTGGGTGACCTTAGTCAAGTCGCCGGCTTTCTGCTTAAGGAGACAACAGTGGCAAATCCCCTCTGAACAAACCTTAACATGAAAATCCTGTAATACATTTACCTTAGGACAGTGGTCCCCAGCCTTAGGTCCTCCAGTTGTTTTTGGACTTCAATTCCCAGAAATCCCAGCCAGTTTACCAGCATTTTGGGAGATGAAGTCCAAAACACCTGGAGGACCCAAGTTTGGGAAACACTACCTTAGGGTCAACATAAATCAGAAATAACAACTGCAGCCATAAGAGTATTCCTGTATAGCAGAGAGTGGGATTGAATGACTCTTGTGATTACTTCCAATGTTGTAATTCTATTATTCCAGTATGGCCCTCAGCAACTACAATTTCTCAGCATTTTGGACTTAATATTCTTGACTGAGTGCTTCAAATGTTTATCTTCTAGATATAAGAGGATGTGGAGTTTGAGTAAACACGTTTAGTTAATGCTTGGACAGGAATAGATTGTGTATAGATATACATATGTTCCAATTTAGGTCATAGGCCCCCAAACGTCCCCTGAAGTATAACAGCATTGAAGCATGAAGTATATATTTAAAGTACAATAAATTAACCTCATTCCCAACTGTCCATTTTAGCTGATATTCCCTGTACAATTAGCCCCCTATATCAATGGATTCTTCACCTATGTATTCAGGTACCCATAGCTTGAAAATATTTTTTAATCTAAAAATGCAAACTTTTATTTTGCCATTTTATATAAGGCACGCCATTTTACTATGTCATTGTATATGGTAGAATTTCAGCATCCATGGATTTTGGTATCCACAAGGTGTTGGGGAACCAAATCCCACTGTATTTTCCTCTTTCTGCCTGGTAAAAGGTAAAGGTAAAAATATTCCCTTGACATTAAGTCTAGTCATGTCAAACTCTGGGGGATAGTACTCATCTCCATTTCTAAGCCGAAAAGCTGGCGTAGTCCGTAGACGCCTCCAAGGTCATGTGGCTGGCATGTCTACATTGAGCACTATTACCTTCCCACTGGAGTGGTACCTATTGATCTACTCACATTTGCATGTTTTCGAACTGCTAGGTTGGCAGAAACTGGGGCTAACAGTGGGAGCTCACCCTGCTCCCCGGATTTGAACCACCAACCTTTTGGTCAGCAAGTTCAGCAGCTCAGCGGCTTAACGTGCTGCGCCACGGGGGGCTCCTGGTAACCAGCCCCAGTTTACCATTCTAACTTTGCCCTCCTGCCCACTTCCACAGAAAGCTTTCTTCCATAGAAGAATGACTTTCTTCATGCCTAGAAAAAGACCTTGTGAACTTCACAGTCTAAAATGGACATGTTTTTATAAAACTACAAAGTTGTTCAATACTGCAAGATCAGAGTGTGTATTAGAATGTTCTTGTAATCTAGCACAGTAACAGGAGAAACTGGCTGATAAAGTTGAATCTCACAAAGTGTGTCCTGTGGGGGGAAAGACAATGCAGTATCTATCGATCTTTGGGTTCTTTATAAAATATTAACTCAGCCTCGGAGGAAGGCAATGGCAAACTTTCTCTGAACCAATCTTGCCAAGGAAAACTTGTGCTAAGATCACATTAGGCTCACCCACCGTAGGTCAGAAACGACTTGAAGGCTCACAGCAACAACAAATAGATATTCAATTTCTTGGGATATCAAGCTCCTAGAATTCCATGAGCCTGTGACAGGTTCATTAATTTAGGAGAACTTACTGGTTTAATAAGGATTTTCTTTCTATCAGACTTCTAACAGTGGATCCTCTTCATGAGTACTATATCACAGCCTTGCCTTTCTTTCTCTAAGGCAGTGGTGCTCAGCCCAGATGTTTTGGTCTTCAACTCCCAAAAATCCTAACAGCTGGTAAACTGGCTGGGATTTCTGGGAGTCCATACTCCAGGAAATAAAGCCCGACTGCTCAGGGAAGGATATTAGAGGCAAAGATGGAGGACTTTGGCCACATAATGAGAAGACAGGAAAGCTTGAAGGAAAAGTGAAGGAAAAAGGAAGAGGGGCAGACCAAGGGAAAGATGGATGGATGGTATCCTTGAAGTGACTGGCTTGACTCTGAAAAAGCTGGAGGTGGTGACGGCCGACAGGGCGCTCTGGCGTGGGCTGTCAATGAGGTCACAAAGAGTCAGAAGCTACTAAACGAATAAACAACGAAGTAGGCCAAAATACCTGGAGACCCACAGGTTGAGAACTACTGCTCTGAGGCAGTGATGTTTTGGACTTCATCTTGATCAACAATAATGAATTCTGGGAACTCAAGTCCAAAACAAAGTTTGGGAATCATTGCCTAAGAGCAGTAGTTCTCAATCTGTGGGTCTCCAGGTATTTTGGCCTACTTTGTTGTTTATTCATTTAGTAGCTTCTGTCTCTTTGTGACCTCATTGACAGCCCACGCCAGAGCGCCCTGTCGGCCATCACCACCTCCAGCTCCTTCAGAGTCAAGCCAGTCACTTCAAGGATACCATCCATCCATTTTTCCCTTGGTCTGCCCCTCCTCTTTTTTCCTTCAATTTGCCCCAGCATCATTGTCTTCTCTAAGCTTTCCTGTCTTCTCATTATGTGGTCAAATTCCTCCATCTTTGCCTCTACTATCCTTCCCTCCAATGAGCAGTTGGGCTCATAATGTCCCAACATTTTCAAATAAATTATACTCAGCCTGTGGTAGATCTAAGAGAGCAGTTTCAATGTCTAAAACTCAAGATAAGCACTAGCAGTTTTAACACGAAGAAAAGCCAGATACTCATAACATATGGAGAGTGTAGAAACTTGGCTGAACATGAACATAGGCATTATTGTTCTAAAAAAGAAGACCCAGTTTGATAGTATAATGGCTGTAGCATTGGACTAGACCACATCTGGAATATTGTGTCCAATTCTGGGCACCACAATTCAAGAGAGATATTGACAAGCTGGAATGTGTCCAGAGGAGGGCGACTAAAATGATCAAGGGTCTGGAGAACAAGCCCTATGAGGAGCGGCTTAGGGAACTGGGCATGTTTAGCCTGAAGAAGAGAAGGCTGAGAGGAGATATGATAGCCATGTACAAATATGTGAGAGGAAGCCACAGGGAGGAGGGAGCAAGCTTGTTTTCTGCTTCCTTGGAGACTAGGACACGGAACAATGGTTTCAAACTACAAGAGAGGAGATTCCATCTGAACATTAGGAAGAACTTCCTGACTGTGAGAGCCGTTCAGCAGTGGAACTCTCTGCCCCGGAGTGTGGTGGAGGCTCCTTCATTGGAAGCTTTTAAGCAGAGGCTGGATGGCCATTTGTCAGGGGTGATTTGAATGCAATATTCCTGCTTCTTGGCAGGGGGTTGGACTGGATGGCCCATGAGGTCTCTTCCAACTCTTTGATTCTATGATTCTATGATTCTATGACTAGGATGGAGAAGACGTAAGTTGAAATTCCCACTTAGTCATCAAGTTTACAGACTGAGATCTCTTTTCAGCTTCTCACAAGAATAGAATGGGAGCAGAGAGAGTTGGAACCATGTCTGTCATCTTGAGCTCCTAAAAAAAGCTGGAGCAAATGCAACAATTAGCAAACAAATTAAACATTCAGCACCATATCTCCAAAAATCCATCAGCTTGATTCCTAAAAATAACCCCTCAAAAAATAGATTAACTTTTGTTAATAAGACAAATGTCTATCCCAGATTGTTTTTGAGCTCTGTAAACAAGTATTGATTCCTGACTGTGATTCTGGATGTGAGCAGAATCTCTAGTGCAACTAGGAGAGGAGCAGAGAGCAGAGAGCCAGATTTTCAGCAGCAGAAAGCCATGCTTTCCTGAAATGCGCCGGACTGCCCAGAAAGCATCCCCTCACCACCAGCATCACCATCCCATTCTGCCTTGCCAATTTGCTTTGTCAAAATGTCTTGCATGGTATCGCTACTGACACAACCAATTCCCATCCCTTTGACAGAACGCCCTCCCACCCTCCAGCGAATTTTGACGGCAACTATCTCACATGCACAGATGTTTCAGCTTTCAGAGCTGGTGGCAATTGGATCAGACTGATGCTCATTTTGTAGGCCTGATGTACCCTGTGCTTTCCATAAGCGGCCATCTTTCACAATGCTGCTGTTGTCCTTCATTTGCAGAGATTCAGAGAAAGCAAGCAGCCTGACGGAGACACTGCCAACCAAGAAGCATAACAGCATGTATCTCACGCTCCCAGATGCCCATGATACAGACTCTGGTAAGAACAACATAATAGAGACTTCTGGCAGCCTAAATTCCATGCAGACTTTCCTGTGATGACAGACCATCTCTCCATCCATGATTTGACAAGTTTCCTTCCCCTTCCTAGTTGTATGAGATCAAGAAATACATTGATGTGTTAAAGGAATTCCAAAGTTTTCACCCACAGAGGAGGCAGTCTGTTGCATCTCTAAATGAGTCACATCCATCTGTTCTGACACCGTGGTTCACCTGATTATCTCTAAATGGAGCATTTCCTCTCTCCTATCTTCTCAGATATAGAAGAATTGTCAAATTCTAGAGATGTCAGTTTCATGTGTGTGTGTCCTATTTTGAAAGAATTTTATTGTTTGATTCTGTTGAGTTCCAAGAAATATACCAGGGGTAATTAAACAAAAATGACTAAACTGAGACATTTTTCAAAGATCCATGTGTGTCTGGAAGTAGATTTAGTCTATGGAAGCTTATGGTACCAATTTTATTATCTCAGTCTCTAAGGCAGTGGTTCTCAATCTGTTCTAGCGTACAACTCCCAGAAGTTTTAAGATACCTACTTTTGTTTACCAAGTAACCTTTGAAAACTAGAGGGAAGGACTAGGTTGGGTACAGCCCCTGAAAAATCTATGGCTGCCAACCCCTGCTATTCTTACCTTTAAGGTAGTTATAGCACTGCCTTCCTCCTTTAAAAGCATTTATTGAATACCGTACGTCATCTCAGTGCATCGAAACTGAGTTGAACTCATATATGCTGCAAAGTCTGAAAAACCTGAATATGTTTCTCCAGTAACCAGTGGTTAGAATCATAGAATCATAGTTGGAAGAGACCTCATGGGCCATCCAGTCCAACCCCCTGCCAAGAAGCAGGAAAATCACATTCAAAGCACCCGACAGATGGCTATCCAGCCTCTGTTTAAAAGTCTCCAAAGAAGGAGCCTCCACCACATTCCAGGGCAGAGAGTTCCACTGCTGAACAGCTCTCACAGTTAGGAAGTTCTTCCTAATGTTCAGGTGGAATCTCCTTTCCTGCAGTTTGAAGCCATTGTTCCTCATCCTAGTCTCCAGGGCAGCAGAAAACAAGCCTGCTCCCTCCTCCCTATGACTTCCCTTCACAGGTTAAAACATAGTAATGTATTATCACGATGTAATGTATTATTATTTTCACATGTTGATGTATTTTATGTGTTATGTATTTTATATATGGCTCCTTTGTGTGCTATTTTGTAAGCCGCCCCAAGTCCCTATGGGAGATGATAGCTGGGTACAAATAAATTATTACTACTACTACTACTACTACTACTACTACTACTAGAAACACAAGATGAATCCACAGCAGACAAGATCACTCTGCTGGCTATTGTATTGGATCACACATCGGACACTTCCCATGTGTCTAGGACTGTGTGATGTATCGGCACATAATGCGTGCAGATTTCAGTAAGGTGGCCTTCTGCAGCTGGCAGATGATAATTTTGTCAGCTCTGATTGTGTTTAAGTGCAGGCCAAGGTCTTTAGGCACTGCACCCAGTGTGCCGATCACCACTGGGACCACCTTGACTGGTTGTTTCGTCTTTAAATGCTGACCACATTTTTCACATTGATATTGTCCAACTGTAGTATGCCCAGATATTTATAAGCTTCAGGCTGATTGCACTTGATGGTTTGTCCATTTGGCATCTCTATGCCCTCACTCTGAGTAATTTTCCCTTTCTTTAATGCCACTGTGGCACATTTGTTTAGGCCAAACTCCATACTGATATCTGTGCTGAAGATTCTGACTGTGTTGGTTAGTGACTGGATTTCTGTTTCTGATTTTCCGTAAAGCTTTAGATCATCCATGTACAGCAAGTGGGAATTTTTTTGGCGAATTTCTTGCTGTTTGGTAGACCAGGTTTGTTTTCTGTAGAATTACTGATTTTACAGAAAATAATAAAATACAGAATAATAATTCTGTAGAATTATTATTATTATTATTATTATTATTATTATTATTAGTGACACATAGAGATTGTTGCCTCTCCCCATAAATAAGAACTATGTTTTTCTTGGTGCTGAAATTGCATGTCAGCACTTGGTTATAGGCAGGCTTACGTTAAGAACAAGACACAGTGAGTTGTGTTAATTCCTAGATAAATCTCCAATATGACCAAGAACCCATTATTGTTCTTCTAGTTTGGAAATTGTACTGATAGTGTGGAATTACTGCATAGCATATGCACATTTAGCACCTATGGAACACTTTTATACAGTACTGATCTTGTGTCTTTAAGTCCAAAGGTACATACACAGCATTTCTAGTAGTGGTGCTTCCTAGCATTTGAATTCTGAGTCATATTTGTTTGCTCATGATTTGTTAAATAATATGGAAGAGCATCGCACATGTGGCTCTATTTCCTTTAGATGTTGGAGAGCTTATCCATGTGCAGTTCCTGCACAGATGGCAGGACATTGAAATGACTCATTCACATAATCATATCAGTATTTCTCCCAGGGAGTAAGCCCCCACCTATGTAGCTGTGCGATATAAGCACAATTTCAGCCATGCAAGAGCAGCTGGAACATCTAAAGGACACTGCAGGGGCACTGGGGATGTAGAAAGAGAATTGCGTTCAAATGTGTTTTCTGATCAAAATTGCTCTTTTGTGCCTCAGGAATACCTCTGTTTTTATCCTGTTAAAGGTAATCCATGAGGAAACCAGTGGTTATGCTTGAAAGTCTGCTATCTTCAACCAAGGTTCTAGTACTGAATGGCAAGTGTGTTATTCAGGTAGAATGACATTTTCAAGAGTGGACAACAAGCAATGTTATAAAGGCAGTAATCTTTTTATTTTCTCAAATATGCCTGTGGAAATAACCCTACATCATTGTGTCAGCTCACAGCAGCCGTCCCCAATAACGACACAGGACTCCGATCCGTAATCTATTAGAAACTTTACTGCTGGATGCTCAAACATAACAAAAGCCGAGATTGACCAGCGGCCGCTGGTCACCTCCTTTATACCCACCCCCACATTTGAAAACACTCTTCCCGCCAAGTGGGAAATCCCGCGCAACTCTCCTGCCAAATACCAACTGCTTCCCCCCGAAGTCACCAGCTGCAATGTCCTTATCAGTGCTCTACGTCAGGACCCTGGTTTTCAGCGCCAAAACTGAAGGCCTGGAAACCGGTTCCTGACATCATTGTGTACAGATATTCCTAAGGGACTTGTGCCCCTGGAAACTTTGCCATGTGGCTGCAAGCATCCAGCCCATCACATGAGGTGGTGGCAATGCTGTTCTTTAAACAAAAGGAGGAAACCACCCATGGCTTTTATATATGTTTTTAAATGTATGACCCTCACCCTATGACATGTCTTTAAATGACATATACATATACCATCTCCAAATATCCCCATAGCTTTTGCAGGGAATACATGGCTCAGTGACAATAGAAAGAGAGAATGATTTGGAATAATTTCTGTTTTAATATTATACACCACTCTTGATTTGAATGTGTAGATCAGTGGTTCTCAACCTGTAGTCCATGGACCACCACTGGTCCACAAAAACTAAAATATGGTCCACAGCCTCACTGCTACTACACCATTGCAACGAGTGTGACTGGTCTTGCCAAGGCTTATTAAATATGGTTTTCTGTGGGTGAGCAGATGGCGACTACTGCATGGCACATGTTCTGTATCAGAAACTGGAGCTGATGTGGTCTATCCAATACAATTTTCTGAATCAGCACCCCAGATAACCAAACCGAATCTAAAGTTGACCAAAAACTGATTTGCAACCCTATTGATACACATTTTGGAGAGTAGTCCATGGTCAAAGTGGTACCTCATCAAAAAAAGGTTGCGAACCACTGGTGTATTAGCTATACATGAAAGAGACTTCTTCATCAGAGTAGAGTACTGGAGATTCTGGAACCTTACATTGTACGTGTGTACTGTAAAATGTGTGCCATTCTTTTGTCCAAGAATTCAGGATATAACTGAAGACTTATCTCTTCTGGCTCGCCTACCCAGTCAGTTTTAATTATAACATCTGTATTATTGGTATTAGTGATAGTCTTTGCTGTGTGTATTTAGACATATGCATTTTAATGGTGTTGCATTTATCTGTCTGTTTTAACCATGTTGTACCCCACCTTGATCCTTAGGGAGAGGCAGGTAATAAATTAAATGCATTATTGTTGTTATTGTTGCTTCTTCTTAATAATTTGGAAATTGAATATTATATAAGACAGCCCCTGGTAATTCATTGCCCAGGAAAAATGCTTCATTGTAGTTCCCACAGTCACTTGGCAGTAATCTGGAGGACCCGAGTTCAGAAAAACTGTTTTAGGGCATAAGCCACCTTTGATTTTGATAGGTATCCAGAAATACACAAAATAACTCTTGGAAACAGCACGCAGATAGTATTGTGTTCTATTATGTCCTTGAGGATTTCATTTATTTGATGAAAATGACAATATTATGTCATTTATCTGTATTTTATTGCATAATAGTCGCAGTCGCGTAATGGTTGCACCTCCATTTTTGGGGTCTCGGTTTTGGTATTTCTGTTTTCCTCGTGCAATAAGCACACTGTTAATTTACTGGTCCATATACTCACTTATCTGCTTGCCTGCCCAAAGACCCACCTGCCCATTCACAAGCCCACTCTCTCATCCACTCATTCACTCACCCATGCATTCACTGACCAATCCCTTCCAGAAACACAGCTTGAAAAGTTTCTGTGAGTGTGTGAGAGAGTGCGTGGTGATAGAGTGAGCTTCAAGCTGGGTTCTTGGAATGGATGGTGAGCTAATGGATGAGTGCATGAGAGAGTGAGTGAGTAAACAAGCCCTTTCAAGACCACTGCACCATTTGTATAATGAGTGGATGATGAGCGATGATCACCAATTTATACCTGCTGAAAATGTGAACCTCCCGTCCTTTAAACTGATGTGCACATGGGTCATTGAGAGTTGGGGCCTTATCACAATGGACATTGTGGTTAAAAGCTTTTTTAAAACTAGCATTTATAATGCACCTGATGGATCAGAAGATGATGCATGTGAGGGGGAGGAAAAAAATATCTTCCGTGTGCAGTGCTGAGGAGAGCACATCAGATAATACCAGCAATGACAATGGTGCGGAGTCTTCAGACAAGGAAAATTAAAATGTTTTAGTGAGTAATTTTTTTCTAGACACAGTTATGTTCTCATGTTATTTTCAACATGAGAACGTGTGGCTCGAGAGCAGTATTTGTGAAAACTATCTTGGGGTCCTTGTAGACAACAAGTTAAACATGAGCCAAAAATGTGATGCGGGGGCAAAAAAAAAAGCCAATGGGATTTTGGCCTGCATCAATAGGAGCATAATGTCTAGATCTAGGGATGTAATGCTACCCCTCTATTCTGCCTTGGTTAGACCACACCTGGAATTCTGGGCACCACAATTGAAGAGAGATATTGACAAGCTGGAATGTGTCCAGAGGAGGGCGACTAAAATGATCAAGTGTCTGGAGAACAAGCCCTATGAGGAGCAGCTTAAAGAGCTGGGCATGTTTAGCCTGAAGAAGAGAAGGCTGAGAGGAGACATGATAGCCATATATAAATATGTCAGAGGAAGTCACAGAGAGGAGAGAGTGAACTTGTTTTCTGCTGCCCTGGAGACTAGAACGCAGAACAATGGCTTCAAACTACAGAAAAGGAACTTCCATGTGAACATTAGGAAGAACTTCCTGACTTTGAGAGCCATTCAGTAGTGGAACTCTCTGCCCCAGAGTGTGGTAGAGGCTCCTTCTCTGGAAGCTTTTAAACAGAGGCTGGATGGCCATCTGTCAGGGGTGTTTTGAATGTGATTTTCCTGCTTCTTGACTGGGGTTTGGACAGGTTGGCCATTAGGTCTCTTCCAACTCTATGATTCTATCATTTTATTAAAATATTACTGTTTCAAAACAAAAAAGGGGGAAATCCTCACATAACAGGGAGTGCAACTATTATGTGATGAATTTGCTAGGTCCTCCAGGCAATTATACGATATGCATCCCCTTTAAGTTACCACAGAGTCACCGTGGAGAACGTTGCAAATTTCTAAAGAGGATACCTCTCTGAAAATTTCTAGGTTTTCCAAAGTGATTCTGTGGTATGCTGCACTGGAAATCAGATAATTTAATGATCTTCAGTTTATGGTTTCAGATAACCGTGGTCTAACAAGGAACATATCCCCTGTGTATACAGAAACCTCACTGTAAATGGTTCAGTGCAGGCACTAATCCACCTGACTGGCATTCTACACAGTTTCTTAAGGATCACCGTGGCTTATTTTGTTTCATCAAAGTTGTGTGTGAATTTCAGGTTCCCAACGAGCCTCTTCCATCGCAGCTTCCCGACTGGAACAAGCCATGTCTGAAGTAACCATGCACAGTACTGCCTTGAAGCAAGGGCCTTTGCAGCTGTGGACTACTCTTGAACAGATCTGGTTGCAGGCTGGTAAGTACAGCAATACCTTGACATACGAGTTTAATTTGTTCTGTAACCAAGCTCGTAACTCAATTTGCTCATATGTCAAAGCAAATTTTCCCATTGAGATGCATTGAAATTCAATTAATGCATTCCAGTCCCTCAAAAACTACACCAATTTCTCCCTTTAAGAGCTCTTTCACAGAACGAATTAAAACAATTTTAGTCTCCCTCCCTCCCTGTTGGAGGCCTCAATGGCTGGTACCTGTCTAAAGCCCAGCTGGAGGCTTCCCTGCGGCACTTGGTGGAGGACGAGGCTCCATGGGGCCATCTGCCACCCCGCAGAAGAAAGGCCACAAGTCTGTGCCCTGCAAGCAGGCTCTGCGCAAAATGGCAGGTAATCTCACACTAGGGATACTTCTAGCAAGAGTACCATACTCTTGCATGAGCACTAGCATGAGAGGTAGTACCAGCACAAGATTATGGTACTCTCGTGAGAGGTAACACGAACACGAGAGCACCTTCCATCTTGTGTAGGGCCTGCTAGCAGGGCACAGAACCTCCTCCTTCAGCCGCGACTCATAACTTGGATCACCACTTGCAAGTTGGAACAGAAAATCAGACGAGCCATGGCTCATATCTCGGATTGCTCGTAAATTGAGGCGTGCATAAGTCGAGGTTCCACTGTTATTGTTTTTTTTTCTTTTAAGGTGTTATCTTTGGTTTTAGAGTCTGACTTGGATGGCACCCCCCCCCCAAAAAAAAGCATTGTTGCAAACATTGTGATAGTGCTTCATGTTGTGGTTGTGGGGTTTCAAACTTTAATCCCATCTATACTTATCATCCACAGGTCATGATGGCAAAGGCAGGGTTTCTTCAGCTTTTCCACTTGCGACCCCTTTTTGGCCCAATAAATGTTTACGTGACCCTGGGTATATAAATATATAAAATAAGTATAAAATCAAACATTTACTGATAACAAATTGGTATTTGCAAGTTTTGCTAAATGGGCTGATATTCTTTTTTAAGAAGTCAGCTCAAGCATAGTTTGCAGAGTCCGCTGTAAACACTGCATAACAGATTCATGTAAATGTCTAAACCAGCCACTAGGTGACGTTCAGAAAACCTTTACTGTTGCCAATTTTTTCAGGTCACCAACATTGGACTAAGGGGTCCCCATTGGACCAACATTGGACTAAGGGGTCCCCATTGGGGTCAGGACCCACAGTTTAGGAACCAGTGGGCTAAGTTGTTCAGTAATACAGCCATACAAATCTTATAAGGTAGATGATAAAGTTACGTTCTGCTGTGCACATGCAAAGAGACAGTGGAAATATCTTGTCTATAATAAAATTTCTTAAAAAATAAGGCTATGGAAAAAATAGAAATGGGATTTACAATAGATCAACACCCTAAAAAGGGTGTCTCCATGGTAGGTAGGGGCTGCTGAAATGTTTAGGTTCTTTTCTTGTCAATATTTCATTTGCGATTTCGCTGCTAGCTGTTACCGTTGCCCTGTCGGAGCTTTTTAATATCACAGATCTTGTTGCATAAGCTGGCATCTTATTCCTTCAACTTGCAGTACTGTATTATTTTAAGCCTTTTTCACTTGACTGCAGTGCCCTGCTCCGCTTGCCACTGCCAGTACTCTTTGCTAAACCCATGCTTTACCAAATATGGCCACTCACAGAAGAACTTGCTCTAGTAATTTGATCCTGGATTGGCTGAACACCATCAGCAATACAGCCGTACAAACCTTACCAGGTAGATGATTAAGTTATGTTCTGCTGTGCACATGCAAAGAGACAGCGGAAATATCTTGTCTCTTGGCATTTTCGCTCCAAATTGCCTGCAAAAAATGTGTCATTTCTGTCCCCCAGGAGCAAATTAAACATTTGTCCTTAAAGGAATATTGGAACGAACGTACCATCAGTGTTCAGTGTAGTTGGAATTGAGGGCAGCATAACACAGTGAGCTAATGGAAAACATCTGTTCTCTCATGTTGTGTGTGCACTAGGACCATTCATATATATCTGTATCTAAATATATCCCATCATACAGAGTTTTAAATGTATAGGTTGCTTTTCAAAAAATGTGCTGCAAATTCCTGGGAAACGCATTTTCAAATCCGAGGAAAAAGTGATGAGGGAAAGACTGTCTTCAGAATGAAAAGCTTCACAAAGTCAAGAGCTGAAATGTTTATGTCAGACCTGTCAGGTTCCACACAACTGCATTAGCCTATTCCGCTCTTTCTCCAGGGAACACCCATCCACTGTAAGTCACCTTTGGGACTCATCCTGCTTTCCAGATATTCATGCTACTCTTCAGTCTGTCAAAGACTTTTGCTTACAAAGTAGAATGCACTTCCTTATTACATTTCTGTACTAGTTGATGCCGTGGCCAAAGAAGACCTGTGTCTAAATAATTCGTGACAAAGCAGGGTTTTCTGATTTGTCACAAATTATTCCTCTTTTACCGGATGCCTCGTTTGGACGCCTCTGGTAAAAGCGCGAGACCTTGCGCATTTTGGGCACTGTCTGGTTGGGCCCATAGAATCCTGGGATTCGTAGTTCGTTGTGGCACCAGAGCTTTCTGAAGAGTAAATATCTCACAAAGCCATAAACTCCAGGATTCCAAATATTGAGTAATGGAGTAGTTAATGAGATGCCGAATGGCTATAATTTTGTAGTCTGGATATAGCCTTTGACAGAGACCACATTCCTAATCAGCCAAGAAGACCACGAGTCTTGCAGAAGCTGTATTGAATCGAATCCCTTCCAGTTTAGAAAAATAGGGAATTGTGGTACTTAGAACTGTTCTTTTCCATAGTAGCTTTGTGGCAGAACTGTGGCTGTGTTTCTGGACTGGAGGAGGGTTAGATCTGGTGTAAATTATCTTCTCCTTCACCCCCGGTGCACAGTGTTTTGTTTTCTCTCTAAGCAGATCATTTAATTTAGCTAGCAGTACAGGTTCTGATAGCAGAAAGGGGTTTTTGATAGCACAAGGAGATTATACCCAGCCTTTAATTTCTACAGCTATCTCATTTTGAGCGAACACCCTGTTGTTTTTTAGTTTATTTTTCACCTTTTCTTCTCTAAAGTAGAGGTCAAGGTGGCTAGTGATGAAGTGAAGAAAACAAAATACAAACTGAAAACAAAAATGAGACTGTGCAAGGCAAGCAAACTTAGGTAGGTAAAGATTTTCCCCTGACATGAAGTCCAGTCGTTTCTGACTCTGGGGTGTGGTGCTCATCTCTATTTCTAAGCCGAAGAGCCGGCATTGTCCGTAGACACCTCCGAAGTCATGTGGCCGGCATGACTGCATGGAGCGCCGTTACCTTCCCACCGGAGCGGTACCTATTGATCTGCTCACATTTGCATGTTTTCTTTTTTCCTTCAATCTATTATTTGATTGGGTATATTTGATCTTCTGATTCCAAAAGTGGCACCAGTTATCCTCTATTAGTTGTAGTTTTTGAGATACAGAACATATGTCATGTATCAGTCTTCATCTGGTTGCCCATAGAAAATCATGATAACCATATCTAAGAAACTAGAGCTGATACAAGGGAGTTGGCCTGAATCTATTGAGAATCCAGGTTTGAAGTACCCACTTGATCTACTTTTAGTTGCATCTGCACTGTCAAATTAATGCAGTTTGACACTACATTAACTGCCATATCTCAATATAAATCCCAGGAATTATAGTTTGGTGAGACGTCAACACTATGTGACAGAAAAGGCTAAAGACCATGTAAAATTACTATGATTCTGCAAGTGGTGCCAAACTGCATTCTTCTACAGTACAGATGCACCCTTCATAATGGAAATAACCAATTTCTCTTCCAAAATTCGGCATTGCCTGCACTTGTTTCTGTTAGGACAGCAAGTAGCAGCATTAACTACTGATGGGTTTCATCCTGGGTGACTCTTCTTGCTGAAATCCTTTTTTGAAATCCATTTCGCTTTCAGGGACAGAAATCCAATTGTTTCTGCCTTAGTAGTGACAGGGAGAATGATTTTTGACATTCATTTGGAAAGCATCCAGCGCTGCAGATCAATTTAGCATGAGCCAGCATGACTAAGCTGTGCTTCTTTTCATTGTACATCAATGGCAAGGCGACATGGCATGCCCAGCAACAAAAGGCTGACAAAAGTGATGCAAGTGAAGCACAAACTCTTCATGCGTTCTGCAGAGAGCAGGTACTCCTCCATGGAGTATTTTTCTATTGTTCTTAGTGTTTTGGCCCAGCTCGACATTGTGTTAGTTACATAGCTTGGAGAATTACTTCAAAAAGTAATTCGTTACCATTACATATATCAAGTATCTACATTTGTAGTTAGATGTGTTATAGTAATTCTTTACTTACTTGCTATTCAAAAATAATTACGTGTAGAATGCCACAAGAGGCTGGACTGTGGTTCAAAATACATTAATAGAAGGAAACCACAAGCATCTTGTAAATGCATAGGCTTACAGTTTTAGTCTCAATATCATAGTTGGTTTTGATGTATTTTGGGGTGCACGAAACACTAGAAAAATGTTGCACTGCATACAATTCTTTCACAAATTATATTTCTTTTCAAGTCAATGGTTCCTCAGTTGTGATTAAGTGCAGTCGCTAATGTTCCAATGTGAATTCTCTTTGTGCTTTTGTTCCAGTGTGATTTCTTTTTGTGCTTCTTGTGTTTTACATCAGCAAACTGAAATGTTTTGAAAGTCTACTAGAAAACCTGAACCCCTTTCTTACTGTTTACTCTGTAAGCCCCGAAGAAATCTTAAGGTAAAGGTATAGGTTTTCCCTGACATTAAGTCAAGTCGTGTTCGACTTGGGGGGGGGCTCATCTCCATTTCTAAACCAAAGAGCCAGCGTTGTCTGTAGACACCTCCAAAGTCATGTGGCTTCTGCCGTTACCTTCCCGCAGAAGTACCTATTGATCTATTCACATTTGCATGTTTTCTGCTCGGTTGGCAAGAGCTGGGCTAACAGTGGGAGCTCACCCTGCTCCCTGCATTCGAACTGCTGACCT